ATGGCCCTTTTTTATTAACAACACTGATGAAGATGACGTCTCATTTTCATATTGGTGCAAAGATATGAAACATAAGTAGACATGAAGTAATTTGAGGTTGTTTTATTTTTTGAACTTTCAAATAAATAAGTTTATACAACTTTTTCATAACTACTATTTTTGTAGCAGGTTTATAAATTCGGGTATATCTTCCCGTGACTAAATTTATGGCCTTAAGCCAGAAGCTCGTGGGAATATCCTGCAACCTTTTTGCGAGTTTGAATGCCTTTGAAAAAAAGAATTTTCTTCAAGGTTTTGATTCTAGCTGAACTATGCTCTTGGTATATATCTTCTGTCATTGTGTATCCTTCTATATGCATAGTCCCCCTAGTATTAGAGCATTGAAGCATGGGATCTCGAACACTGGATCAACTCCTTACTTTTGGTCCTTTCCCTAACACATACGGGACTCAGAGATAATCTTTTATATGATGACTGCATAACCTTTTTGCCATCAGAAATGTTGTAACCTAGACCGGAAATAATTTAGTATTTCGCGTGTCTTTCGGGTCTAATATCATCATCTGGTACGTGCCATATTTTTGCCTATCATCTAAAATAGTTAGTAAAATTCAAATGAACATAACAAAATCGAACTTGCTTGATACCTGATCGTGGGTATTAATCTCTTTTAGAAGTAATACTTCTTCAAATGGACTGCATTCCAATGTGATGGTAACACTTTGCCACCCATGGTTTCCAACTCATATGCTTGTTTTTCCATCAATGCCTTTAACCCTATGCGGGCCTTCCCAATTTGGACTTAACTTTCCTGCGTTTGTCGCTTTTGTTGACCGGAACACCTTTTGAAGGACGAAGTCCCCAATCTTGAAGTACCTCAAGTTAGCCTTCCTGTTATAGTATCGTTCAATCATTTGCTTTTGAGCTGCCATCCGAATTAATGTTGCTTCCCTCCTTTCTTCTGTCAAATCCAAATTTACTCGTAACTCTTCCTCATTTGTTGCTTCAGTAGTATGTGTGTACCTCGTGCTTGGTTCACCTATCTCTGCCAGAATTAAAGCTTTCGTTCCATATACAAGTGAAAATGGGGTCTCGCCCGTACTAGTTTTCGTCGTTATTCGGTAAGCCTATAGCTCACCTGGTAGTACTTCTTTCCATTTACCTTTTGATTCTTCCAATTGTTTTTTTATCTCTAAATAAAATCCATAACTTTCTTTTATCGCACATGTTTAAAGGCACCTACTTCTACCCATTTTGAGAAATAATCTGTTAGAACTAACAAGAATCGTACCTTCCCTTAGCTTGAGGCAAAGGCCCTATGATGTCCATCCCTCATTTCATGAAGGGCCATGGTGATATGACTGAATGCAACAGTTCCATCGGTCGATGCATATTATTGGTATATCATTGGCATTTATCACACCTTGCTACGAAGTTTTCTGCTTCTTCCATTTTTGGCCAATAATATCCTGCCCTTATTAATGTCTTCACCAATGATCCTCCCCTCGCATGATTGCCACAATGGCCCCTATGTACTTCTTTCATTACATACTCCATCTCTCATTACATACTCCGTTTGTGATGGTCCAAAGTATCGTGCTAAAGGTCCACTAAATATTTTGCAATATAAATTTCCGCGAATTAAGCAATATTGTGCAGCTTTCAACCGTAACAATTGGGATTTCTTCTTATCCTTAGAAAAAATATCATACTATAAAAAATTCACAAATTTGTTTCTCCAATCCCAAGTTAAATTATTGAAATTTGCCTCACTCTTGGTTTGACCGAGTATTGAATGAAACAAATATACCACAACAGCATTTTCTGCATTTGTTGCATCAGCGATAGACGAGAGATTTCCCAACGTGTCTGCTTCTGTATTTTTCTCCCTGGGTATTTGCACAGCTTTCCATGTCTGAAATTGTCTAAGCAATTCTCTTACCTTTTCGAGGTATTGCTGCATTAGTGTCTTTCTTGCCATATAAGTCCCCTGCATTTTATTAACTACCAGTTGTGAGTCACTTTTGATCACAATTTGTTCAATACCAAGCTCTCGTGCAAGTTTCAGGCCTGCAATCACAGCTTCATACTCTGCCTCATTGTTAGTAATTGGGTAACATTTTACTACATGTCTTATGAATTCTCCCGAGGGTGGAATTAAAACAATCCCCAAACCTGCTCCTTTAACATTTGAAGAACCGTCAGTAAATAGGGTATGAGTCCCCGGATTAACTCCGGTATATATTTGTAGCTCTTTTTCTGCTTCAGGAACTAGGTTCGGGCTAAAATCTGCTAACACGTGCGATTTTATAGCGGTTCTAGGATGATATATAATATCATATTCACTGAGTTCTATTGCCCATTTAGCTAACCTACCTAATAGTTCATGTTTATGCAATATGTTTCTTAGTGGGAAAGCAGTTATAACAGACATAGGATGACATTGCAAGTAAGGTCATAACTTTCTTGATGCCATAATTAAAACTAAAGCAAGTTTTTTAGGTGAGGATACCGTGTCTTAGCATCTACTAAAGACTTACTAACATAATAAATTGAAGATTGTTTATCTTTATCTTCACGTACCAATATCGCGCTTACCGCTGCTTCTGATACAACAAGGTAAATCTGCAACCTCTCTCCGTCTTTTGGTTTTGCTAACAAAGATAGATTTGATAGATACATCTTTAAGTCCTTCAGAGCTTGTTGACACTCGTCAGTCCATTCAAACTAATTTTGCTTTTTCAGTACTGAGAAGAATTTAAAGCATTTTTCTAATGACTTTGATATAAACCTTCCTAGAGTTGTTATTCTGCATGTTAATCTTTGCACTTCTTTATTGATCGTGAGTATATATGTTATTTCCTCAATAGTTTTGATCTGTGCGGTATTTACTTCAATACCTCTGTTAGAAATAAGAAAACCTAAAAACTTACATGAAGCCACGCTAAAAGCGCACTTTTCCGGATTTAACTTCATGTTGTACTTGCGGAGAATTTTAAAGGTCTTAGACAAATGCTGTAAATGATCCCCTGCATGTGTTGACTTGACCAACATATCGTCTATGTAGACTTCCATAGTTTTTTCCATGTGCTCTTGAAATATTTTGGTCACCAATCTCTAATATGTGGCTCCAGCATTTTTCAAACCGAATGGCATGACTTTGTAGCAATAAGTCCCCCTGTCTACGATAAACGAAATTTTCTCCCCATCCAGAGGGTCCATTTTTATCTGGTTATAACCAGAATATGCATCTAAAAAATTTAAAAGCTCATAACCTGCGGTAGAATCAATTAATTGATCTATGTGTGGCAAAGGAAATAAATCTTTAGGGCGAGATTTATTTAAATCAGTATAATCAACACAGACTCGCCATTTCCCATTCTTTTTTGGAACCACAACAGTATTAGCTAACCAGTCAGGATACTTTACCACTCGTATTGAACCAATTTTTAAAAGTTTTGTACCTCATCCTGGATTACTTGATTTTTTAAGGCCCCTTGCTTCCTTTTCTTCTGCTTGACAAGTGGGTGTAATGGATCCTCATTTAGCTTATGAGTCATCACCTTTGGTGGTATACATGTCATATTTGAATGCGACCAAGCAAAGCAATATGCTTTTCAATTAACTTACCTTTCATCTCTTGGCTCAAATTTGCTCCGATGTAAACTTTTCTGTATGGCCAGTGGACAAATAATATTATAGATTCGAGCTCCTCCGTGATTGTTTTAATGTTCTCATTTTTTTTTGGCTCTGTGTGTTTTTAGTTGAGGTATGAACAAAAGTGTCCTCAACTGAATTCTTTAATTGTTATTCTGTATCTGCATCGTTGGCTGTTGTGTTGGAAATTGCCACCAAATTAATATTTCGTGAAGCTTGTTGATCTCCGCGTATTTGTTGGATTTTTCACTGTGAAAGAAATTTGATAATTTGATGCAACGTGGATGGGACAACATCCATATTGTGAATCCATAGCCTTTCCAAGATTATATTGTAGGCCATGTCCTCGTCTATTACCTAGAACTTTGTATCTTTGATGACTCTTTCTGCAAACATGGCCAATACAATTTCTCCTTTAGTTACAACGCGTAAATTATAAGCTGTTTCTTCTTCTTTCATTTTCCAAGACGCCACAATTGACAATAGGATAAGATCAACACACACTTCAGTGTAAACGCTGACGATATATATTAAGTGTGAATTCAAAGAGGAAGTACTTAAGATATTGTGAATCCAAGTAGAAATACATACCAATAGATACGTAACATGCAGTCTCCAACCAGTGGCGGAGCCACATTCAACTTCGCCGGAAAATTACACCATATTGCTAGATAATATTTTTTGTTTTATGTATATTTACTATATGTTGACTCTCTTTAACTTTTCGGTATATCGAATTTTTTTATATTTTGACACTTCTTGATAAAAATTCTGGCTCCGCTAAGGTCTCCAATGAGTCTTTCTTATGCAGTCTTGAATTATTGTTGCTTGATTCCACACTTTTTTGTGGTCATTGTTACCTTCTAAACTCAAGAGTGTGGACTAACAGATATTCAGCCTCGATCTTATGGAAGATTGCTATTATTAAAAGACCACTTAGCTTAACTGATAGAAAATAAGTGATAAGCATCAAATACATAAAAGAATGCATGTTGGTTGTGTTTTTTTATAAATAAGCATTAGGTGTTTATTTGGTTTGTACCTCAAGCTTCAAGAACACATGGCTTGCCTTCAACCAGCTTCATTATATAGAAGCCCAAAGCTTCAAACATATCCATAGCCTTGTCCATCCTTTCGTTTAATCCTTTGGATTTCTTAAGATAAATCTTGATTAAAGTTAAAGAAAGAATCAATGCGTTTTTAGTTGTGTTAGAGCCCCGAGGGATCGCCAGATAAAATACTGTAGACCAGTGGATTACAGGAGTTAAATAATCATAACAATGATTCATTGATTTGTGATGCAAGACAACAAAAAGAATAATGCTATAGATGAAATGAGACTGTTTAAACAAGTTAACACTTCTAATTACTGAAAAGAGTATCTAGGCATCAAATATATACATAAATTTTGGTGAAGGTATAATTATAGGTGATCAAATATCTTCCGACATCGGATGCTATGAACAAAGTTACACGAGAATTTAAAAGATTTCCACAGTAATACTTATGTGTGCAATGAAGAGTGGAGAACATCAAGTGAGCCATGAGGAAGTTGGGACTTCGTAGATGGTTACTGCTCTGCACAAATAAGCTATACAAAAATTCGTTCTTCTGGTGAAGAAGTACTAACCTTGTACAACATATAAGAGTATAGGTGTCTCCCTGAATAGCAACAATTTCACTTGCCAAGATCATCATATATTTGTCAATCCATAAATCGATAAGCGGGAATTCCATGGTTTTGAAACCATTCAGGCATTTGAAACCTTTCGTGGAGCACGGGCCTTACATCCTTCTGCTCAGAGAGATGCTTGAGAAGTGGAAGGATTACTTCCAAAAGCTAATGTAGAAAATGAAAGCCAAGTCAAAACTCGTTGCATCAAAGAAACGAAAATTTGAGGAATTACCCTCTTTTATGTATAAAAATTTCCATCTCTTATACCTGCTCGTCATGGGGTTGTCCAGGAGAAAATGGAATGCACGGAATCCCATTTAAAGGCTGTAACAAGAAACTGAATGGGTTGTTATCAACAATGACAATCCGGCATAGATCCGTTGATATGGATGACAGGTCCTTCACATGTTCCCGGAATTCCCTGTGATGTGAATATGGTGTCAAAGTTACCGTAATTATATTAAATAGAAACAACTGTGGTTTAAACTATTTTTTAAAACAGGTACCAGTGGCTTTAAACTATTTAAGCTGTTATAGGTGGCATCAACTGAAAGCGGCATTTAGAACTGTTTACCCTAAAAAACGGATAACAATTAAATTTGTAAGTGATTTTAAGGATACGCGGGTTAATTCAATACAAATAATAAATAACGCTAGATTAAACACATAAAGGACGTAATAAATTGTTAAACCAATCAAATAGAGTGATCTCAGACTCAGTAATAGCTTAATAAAACGCCTGCCTTCGATCCCGGGCTCACATTAATGATGAACTGACCAACAAAAGTAAGAACTTTGAATAACAAAGAAAATAAGAGTATATGTCTTGATGTGCGTGTTACAGTATGTCTAATAAATAATCAGACCCCCCTTTATATAGTAGGGGAGTTTTACCTTAAGTACAATTCCATAAAAGGTAAAAAATCTTTTGTTTAACTAATCACCGATTTTCTGCCGATACATGCCGAGATTCACACTGTGACATCCGGCTGGTCACGGATATCACGGCCTTTTGTTGGTCGTGCTCGATTATCTGGTAATGCTCTCCGAGGCCTTTGGGATTCGAACCGAACCTGGGGGTCATGGCCCCGATACTCCCGAGGGCAGGCATTTTGCCCAGACCCCGGCTCGAGGGGCTCCTTGCCTCGATTCTGATCCCTTACCGTCACGTCTTTTGCTCCATTTACTTCATCGAAAATCGAGGCGTCCCATGTGCTCGGTTTTACCCGTATACAGATAGTCCCCTCGTTTCTCGGAGAGTAAGTTTATGGAAATGATGAGAAATGACATGTGCACTTCGATTCCTTCTTCAATACGCCGTGACAGAAATGACAAAGAATCTGAAATGTCTCGTCAGTTGCGTCATTATGACTTCAAACGCGTGACAGCCATCGGCAGGCCATCCCTGGACGTGAAACGACGCGAGGCCTCTATAAATACTCCCCTCCTTCATTCATTTTTTTACCTTTTGACCAAGCTTCTACCTTCGAATCTTCAGGATATCACTGCCCTTCTTCTTACTCCAACATTTTTACATCCGTTCTTCAAGATTTCTCAGTAAATTGCAATCTTTTACTTATTTTCTACCCAAATCAGTGCACTTAATTTTCTCAGTAAAGCTTTTACCTTTCATCTCCCAACCTTTCTTCATATTTTGGAATTTTTTTCCAGATAACAATGGCTAAAACTTCCAAAATTGTTCCCCAAAATATTGTTTCTTCTTCTTTGCAGCCGACCACCGAAGTCGAGGAGACCACTCCCGATGTGTCCGTCCTCGAGAGATCTGCTCTAGGCACGGCCACCGATGAACCGGTTGCCGAGCCTCCCTTGAAAATATTTGTGCCTAGGGAGTGTTCGGTCGCGGATGACTTTAAGGTCGAAAAGCCTTCATCGATGCAAGGCCGATGTGAGGTATCTAGGTATATTTGTTCCATCACCAAAGACGTCCTTCCTGCGGTTCAAAGGGACTGCGGCTGGGCGGATAAGGACGTAGTAATCCCCGGGCCCGACGACGCCATTACTACTTATGTGGAGGGGTATCTGAGTGTTTACACGTATCTGGGCCCAGTGAACCCGGTTATTCTGGACTTCTGTAAGAGGTATGAAGTATGTCTCGGTCAGATTCACCCGTCGTTATGAAGGATCGTAATCCTCCTTCGATACTTCATGAACAAAATCGACTCTTGTCGGTTCACCATCGATCATATACTCCACATGTACAGCCCTTGAATCTTCCGATGGGGACTGATAAAGCTCATACGTCGGGCTAGCAAAGCCCCATTCTCAAGCATCTATGAGGACCAGGATCGAGGCTGGCAGGGACACTTCGTCCGGGCGAGGACCACAGGCTTGATCCCTGTGGAGTTTAGGCCATTCCCCGAGAAGTGGAATGTATCACGTAAGCACAACTTTCCTTTAAATGTCGATTTTATGTTCATCTCCTTTTTCCTCACCAGTATTTGTGGTGGTGCAGTTGTTGGTCGAGTCTCAAACGTCATTCCTCGGCTTAAGGAGTGGATCGAGGGGCATTTGTTCGCAGATGCCTTATTCTGAACGCTCATGGCGCGAGCTCTCGAAGGGCCGTTGGGAGGCCCGTTCTCACGGTAAGATCTCTTTCCCGATAAGTAACGTTAGCCTCCCTTTTTAGCATCACATTCTCATTTCTTTTCTTTTATTTTCACAGGCTTGCCTAAGACCATTGAGCTTAGGCCTCCAGTAGGGGACAAGGACTTGTCCGTTGATCCCTCCGCTTCGGGACAGCTCGAGGCTGCAATAGGAGAGAAGAAAAAAAGAAAGGCTCTGAGTTCCCCGAGCTCAGAGAAGAAGAAGCCAAGGAGAAGGTTGGCCCGTAGGCCAAAGGAGAGTTCTGGCTCTCGAGCACCCGACTCGGACTCGCTTTTTCGGCTCAGGGATGAGCCTGAGGAGGATGATATTCTTGTGGCCCGTGAATCGACCTCCCCCGAAGAGCGGGCGGTAGCCGAGGGAGAAACAATGGATGTCGATGTAGGGATGAGGGTTGAGGCCTCTCACGACGCAGGTTCCGCTCCACCCGGTGTCATAGAAATTTTGGGGTCACCTTCATTCACCGAGTCCATGTTTGAAAAATCCCGAATGGTGAAGGAGTGATCCAACGAAGGGGCCCACGGTACGGACGATCCCCTTTATTCTTTTTTCGAAGGTGTGGACTTGATCGCTCTAGAAGACTTCTCCGGGTTGGGCGACTTGGAGGTGCCGAGGAAAGACCCGTCTTCATAGGCCAGCGAGCCGAACTCAAGACCTATATTAATGAATCAGTTCCCCACCCCGAGCACGGATCCTGGCCGTCAGAGGTCAATAATCTTCACCGTCCCGGAGGATGCCCGGGTTCTTTCTGCTCCCGTTGGAGTAGCGAGCTACCTCCGGTGCCTGGTAACCAAAGAAGACCATGCAAAAATGAACGAGGTGGACATGTCATGCCTGTTCAACGAGCCACAACAGGCACTGAATCGGGTACTGACTTAGTTCTTTTACTCATGACTTCTTTCTTTTATCCTTTTACAGGCCTCGGTATTCCATCAAGAAAGCTTTCTTCGGTACCGAGCTGAGGTTAACCAGCTCGAGGTCGAGGCCAGGGAGCTTGCCGAGAATAGAGACATGTATAAGCTTCTCAGCGAGAAACACGAAGGGGTCGTTAATAGTCTCCGTGCCGAGTTGGATGCGGCTCAGAAGGAGCATGCCGACTTGGTGGAACAGGTAGAAGTTTTCAAAGTTAGCAGTGACGACTTAGCCATGGCGACTAATGACCAAACCTCGCAGGTTCAGCAGAAGATTGACCGAATCGACCAACTCGGGGCTGAAATAAATGAGGTCCAGGCCATGGACGATGTCTGGAAGGAAAAAATAGACCGGATGGCTTCAGAAAAGGAGACCGCCCAAGAGTAGCTGGCATCGGTAGAGGTCCAATTTCGAGTGGTGAAAGAAAAGGCCGAAGCTCGGGCTTGACAAATCGAAGACCTCCATTCTCAACTAGGCTCGGCCATTGCTGAACGGGATGCCCTTGGCAAGGAGCTCGAAATAGCGAGGTCCGTATGAGAAACAACCAAGGCTGATGTTGAAGAGATGGTGGTCCAGTATAAGGTTGATGTTGAGGCAGTTGAGGCCCGCCTGAAAGTTACTGTTGAGTATGTGAAGCGGTTGTCTCGAAGGGAGACCCTCGAGAAGATCCATGCCCGAGGTTTTGACCTGTCGGCCGAGATTGAAGAGGCAAAAAAGCTCGAGGACGAGGCCACAAGAAGCTAGCCGAACCCGAGGGCGAGGAAGCCTCTGAGGGCTCCGGCGAACCCGAGGATAGAGAAGACCCTGACGGCTCCGGTGACGAGGCGAGTTCTGGTAAAAATCAGGCGTAGGTTCCTTAGGAATCTTTATTTTTGCACTTTGTACATTTATTTTGTTGAGGCCGTTTTCGTTGGCCTCTGTAAAGACTTTTTTCCCTTTTGGAAATTTTCGAGTCTATTAATTTTGGCATCCTCTTTATAATTGCAAAGATTTCTAATGCCTTAGCACGGAATAAAACGTAGTAATAAGTTTTTGTTTGGAGGTTCGAACAAGACTTGTTCTCAATGTGAATTTTGTTTGAAACTTGTGGGGGCTAGGTATGACCGGAAGCTTTCCCCAAAGTGCTTGTTTAGATTTTTTAGACTATAATTTTGTTAAGGGTAACCTTTGAACCGGTTTGGAATTTTAAAGGCCTTATGTTTTGATTATGGGCTTCGGACGTCTCCGAGCAGTTTGTAGGGTAGACGTAGCCTTTTTAAGTTCAGGTACTTTCCGGGCTTCGATAGCCCGAGCCATCCGAGCTTGCCTTGGACAACAGTCCCCGAGTGGGGGTGGTCATAGCCTTTTAAGTTTAGGCATTGCCTAATAGGCTTTTGTGCCTCCGGGCTTCGATAGCCCGAGCCGTCCGAGTTTGTCTTTGACGACAGTCCCCGAGTGGGGGTGATCTATTGGATCCGAATAGAGGCAGATCTTGGGCTCGATATCCTTAAGGAACAAAATGTAATAGTCTTAAGGGACAATATGTATCTGCAAGGTAGAAACTTTCTTTCATTCATGTGCGTAATATACAAGATTGTAAGTGTGTACAAGCTTCGTGTTATGGCTTAGGTGGTCTACGCAGGCACGGTTCATTTGATGGTTTGGCCCTTATAATAAATCCTATCTACCGAACCCAGACTGTTCAAGCACAAAGTTTCCTTCCTTGCTAAAAATCATTACCCGAGGGTGATGGCCCCCAGTATTCGAGGTCGATCGTCGAGAGGGATCGGATACTGTTGCCAGAAAACCCATTTGGGACAAAACCGGTTCAAGGGAAAAAGAGTGCAACACGTGCTTTCAGGCCTAACAACTACACTATCCTTTGGTTGTTACCTGCAGGTGTTAGTCCAATTCGCAATATATGTAAAAAAAAAAAAAGTCGTACCTTAGCAGTAGTATCGTTTTAAGTGGGTTACGTTCCAGTTGTTCGGTAGTTGCTCATTGTTCTCTACTTCGAGTTTGTACGAACCTTTACCGGTAATATCGATAATTCGATATGGACCTTCCCAATTCGGTCCCAGCTTCCCTTCGTTCAGGTTCCGGGTGTTCAGTGTCACCTTTCTTAACACCAAGTCTCCGATATTGAAGTGTTAGAGGTTGGCTCTCCGGTTGTAATACCTTTCGATCTGTTGTTTCTGGGCGGCCAACCGAACGAGGACAGCCTCGCGCCTCTCATCCAATAGTTCCAGGCTTATGCTCAGGGCCTCACCGTTTGACTTTTCGATCGTATATCGGAACCTGAAACTCGGTTCTCCTACCTCAACCGATATTAGCGCTTCGGCACCATAGACCAACGAAAACGGAATGGTCCAGGTACTAGACTTTGAGGTCGTACGGTATGCCCATGGGACTTCGGGCAAAATTTCCTTCCATTTTCCTTTGGCATCAGTCAATCTCTTCTTAAGGTTTTGGAGTATGGTATTGTTCGTAGACTCCGCATACCCGTTCCCACTAGGGTGATAGGGTGTTGACAAGATTCTTTTGATCTTATGGTCCTCGAAAAATTTGTTTACCTTATTGGCGATGAACTTCTTCTCGTTGTCACATACGATCTCGGTCGGCATTCCGAACCGACATATTATATGGTCCCAAATAAAATCAATGACTTCTTTTTCTCTCACTTTCTCAAATGCATGAGCTTAAACTCATTTAGAAAAATAATCATTCATAAATAATATAAAGTGAGTCTTACCGGGTGCCCATGGCAGGGGACCGACGATGTCTATTCCCTACTTCATGAATGGCCAAGGTGACAAGACCGAATGCAGTAGCTTCCCGGGCTGATGGATCATCGGTGTGTGCCTCTGACAGCCGTCGCATTTCCGTACGAACTCCTTCGCATCTTTCTCTATGTCGACCCAGTAAACTCCGGCTCTGATTATCTTAAGAATCGTTGATTCGGCCCCCGAATGGTTCCCGCATGTACCTTCGTGAACTTCCCTCAAAACGTATTTGGTGTCTCCCGGCCCCAGACATATGGCGAGTGGGCCATTGAACGTTCTTCTGAACAAGGTGTTATCCTCGGACATGTTGAACCTGGCCGCCTTCCTGCGCAGAGCTCTCGATTCTTTAGGATCCGAGGGCAGCTTCCCGGTCTTCATGTAATCTATATACTTGTTTCTCTAGTCCTAGGTCAAGATTGTCAAGTTTATCTCGGTGTGGCCTTCTTCCACTACCGATTTCATGAGTTGTACGACCGTTCCCGAGCTGAATTCATCGTCATCAACCGCCGACCCCAAGTTGGCTAGAGCATCAACTTCGCTGTTTTGATCTCGGGGTACATGTTGCAGGGTCCACTCCTTGAATCGATGTAGTGTTACCTGTAGTTTATCCAGGTATCTTCGCATTCGCTCCTATTTCACTTCAAACGTCCCATTGACTTGATTCACCACAAGGAGGGAATCGCATTTAGCTTCCATTACCTCGCCCCCCAGGCTTTTAGCCAGTTCGATACCTGCAATCATGGCCTCATACCCGGCCTCATTGTTAGTCAATTTCACAGTTCTAATAGATTGCCTAACTACGTTACCCGTGGTCGACTTCAACACGATGCCGAGTCCGGACCCCTTTGCGTTCGAAGCACCATCCGTAAAAAGGGTCCAAATCCCCAAGGAGGTCCTCAAGGTTAACAACAATTCTTTTTCGACTTCGGGTATTAAAGCCATCGTGAAATCGGCCACGAAGTCTGCCAAAATTTGAGATTTGATTGCGGTACAGGGTCGATATTCAATACTGTACCCACTAATTTCCATGGCTCATTTGGCCAATCCTCCCGAGAGCTCAGGTTTGTGCATTATGTTCCTCAATGGGTAAGTGGTCACGACACATATGGGATGGCATTGAAAATATGGCCTTAACTTCCTGGAGGCACTTAGCAAAGCGAGCGCCAATTTCTCCAGGTGAAGATACCTCGTTTCAGTCTCGCCTAGAGTCCTGCTAACGTAATATATAGGGAATTGCGTAACTTCTTCTTCCCGGACTAAGACTCCACTTACTACTATCTCGGATACTGCTAAGTACAGGTACAACTGCTCGTCTGCCTTCAGAGTATGAAGTAAAGGCGGACTCGAAATGTACCATTTGAGTTCTTCCAAAGCCTGTTGGCACTCCGGGGTCCACGAGAAGTTATTCTTCTTCTTTAATAACGAGAAGAACCGATAGCTCTTATCGGAGAACCTTGAAATGAATCGACCCAAGGCGGCTATGTGCCCGGTTAGTCTTTGAACGGCCTTGACATTGTCCACCACGGTAATGTCTTCTATGGCCTTGATCTTGTCGGGATTGATCTCGATTCCCCGGTTGGACACCATAAATCCAAGGAACTTCCCGGATCCGACTCTGAATGCGCATTTCTCCGGGTTCAGCTTCATATTGTATTTCTTCAGTATGTTGAAGGTTTTCTGCAAATGTTTCAAATGGTCATCTGCTCGCAGGGATTTAACTAATATGTCGTCAATGTAAACCTCCATTGATTTTTCTATTTGTTCTTCAAACATCTAATTTACTAGACATTGGTAAGTGTCACCAGCGTTTTTTAGTTCGAATGGTATTACGTTATAATAGTTGCCGTATTTAGCAATGAGGGAAGTCTTTTCCTGTTCGCTCGGATCCATCCGAATCTAGTTGTACCCGGAATAGGCATCAAGAAAGCTGAGCATCTCGTGGCCGGCCGTCGCATCGATCATGCGATCGATGTTAGGCAAAGGAAAAGAGTCCTTAAGGCATGCCTTGTTCAAGTGTTTGTAGTCTACACACATTCTTAATTTATTTCCCTTTTTAGGTACTACCACTACGTTTGCTAATCAGTCCGGGTATTTAACTTCCCGAATAGAAACACGTCAGTCGTCAATCCGTCATACTTCAGAAAAAATAAGGATTAGATTTGCTTAAATATTATACATGCTCCAGAGATATAATATATGAAACTGGGGGTTGGAAAGGAAAAGATAATCTTCAATCGGTAACATATGCTTGAAGATCAGATTCAGAGAGCTGAGGCACTAAAATAAAAAGACTGGGTACCTAAACTGACACACTAAGATCTCAATTCAGGATTAACATACAGAGCTTAGTTAGCATGACAGAATTTCAAAAAATAATTCTTCAAGAAGGCTGTGCTCGGTGTCACTTAAGATCTTTTGCTAGAAACAAACTCCTGCAACGAACTGTAACTTCCATCATCTGCTCTGCTTCATCTCATGATAGCATGATCGAAGAAATCTTAAAGCTATTGCGAGCTACTAGTAGTAGTTTGTGCTAATGTTTCGAAAAAAGATGAATGACGAAGAGCTATCCTAGTACTTTGCACTGATTTTTCAGGACAAATGAATAAAGCAGCCAGGGGATGTCCTCATAATCAGTTAGAAAGTAAAAGTTGATCATTCTCAGTACCAAGTCATTCAGAATGAATCCTTCACCTGCTACGGATTGGAGTAGATAAAACAGATGCATAACAGATTCTCTATAGATATCAGCAAGTGCAAAAAAGATCTTCCATACTGCCTCTACTATTTTCATACCTTTTCTCCTCGGACCCCTCCTATTATAATGTCATTTACGTCATTGATTAATTTATCATTTCTTTCGATGGTACATTTGGTCTGCAATGTGATAAACAGGATACAGAAAGACGAGTCTATTTTGACAAAGATTATTCAAATTTTGTGAGATCGTGCATAAAGAAATTACACCCTCCATTCCAATTTATGTGATACTTTTTTCTTTTTAGTCAGTGCAGAAAAGAATGATACCTTTCTATATTTAGTAACAATTTAACTTTAAAATGCCCATTTTAGTTAATGAGATAATCTATAGCCACACAAATATGTATCGCTCATTTAGATCACAAGCTTCAAAAGTCTTCCTTCTTTCTTAAACTCGATGCCCAATCAAACACCATTACATAAATTGGGACTGAGGGAGCAGTTGTTTTTATGACTAACAAAAAGCAGGATCAGCATAAGCTTTCAATCAATTCATCCCTTCAGCTTTAGCAATCTAAGGACAGTGAATGTCTTCAAATGGAGCTCATGGCATTTATCATTGATGAGGCAGCATGACTTCCACTTCTCCCTCCCTCCCCCAACAATCAGACTTTTTCCACTCTTAACACTATCTTTTTTGAGAAAGGTAACAATTCTTCAACTCTTACACTTGAAACCACCATATAAAGTTTGGCTACTGATTAAAGATAGGATGTACAACATTTTCAAGACCAATGCTCAGAACAAGTGCTCAACACCAATTAGCACCACTATATGCATAAAAAATACAACTGTTGTCTCAAAGGTTGATATGCCATAAGGTAGATCTATAGCTTTTACTAATCAAGATGAAAGGCAACACGATATATTGCTTATCCAATTTTCCTTCTAATAGCATCAGATTTCTATTCCTTTTATGCCATTTACTTTCAGATAGTGTTTCTTTACTCTTTGATATTTCTCTAAAAAAATTAGATTAGCGTCATATTCAACATGTCAAATGATGCCAGATAAGAATTTCGATCATGGTTATTCAACAGGGAAAGGAAAAGACAAAACCAGTATCTTTACTTACGTGCTAATAGTTGAAGGCCGATAAAGCCTATGGCTAAACCAATTCTCAGGATCCATTTTGTCAACAAGGGGTCTTGCATATCCTGTATGCACATAACAATTAAAAATTCAACAATTTTGGATGAAGACGACAATGGAAAAGGAAGATAACTAAATCAACCAGAAAGTAATGAGTTAACCTTCAAGTCCAGCAGTAAACAAAACCAGATTAGCAAATTCGCTAAGTTGTTTTAAAAACTCGTGTAGTCCAGGACGTTCAAAAACTGTGAAATAGTTGATCTTAGGTTTGCCATCATATTCCTAAAACCTCCAAGAGGAATTAGAGCAGAATTCTTCAAGAAACTTGCCAGAATATTATATCAACTAGTAGGAACTAGAAAGTTTACCTTGTCCGAAGATACGCACTCGAGCTCAAACCACTTCAACCCAGCCTCTGCTGCCTGGGTACGCATGATTGTCGGCATACTTGATGTCTCATATGCACAAACTAAAGTATCATCCAAGTCAAGAACCACCTGCATCCAGCATCTAAGAACTTAAGAAAAACATAAACAGAAGGTAATCTTTTAAATAAAATATCTATTAAAAGATTGATCAACACCATTGACAGTCAGCAGTTAATCCTTGTTGCAGGAAGCACTGGTTATCCAGTTCGACAAACATTCTAGCTAAGGAGTGATAGGTAGTCGGAAGACACTACCTATTAGTTATTACCAATAAAGTGCTCATCACACATATATAACACCATTCAAACTTGCTAAATTAGCACTTTGCTGACTCAAGCACGTATCAAAGACTAACAAAAAGCTCATCAGGCTCGTATGGTGCTTCGACTCGCTTGTCAAGCCATTTCCCCTAGGGATCTCATTTGCAAGCTAAGGGTGTGCTAATGGCATAACCTTGTCCACTACACCACCTTCCCAAGAAATAAAGAAAGAAGAGATGAGAAGAAACCCAAAAGAATATTGCGACACTACCAAAACTAGAAATCACCTTACTAACAAAAAACGCATGCTGTAAATAACAACATTCCCTATCCTTTGACATACTTTCTGGCAAATTAATGCTTCTCAGGAACTATAACTGCCTCTTTCATTAATCTCAGCTTGTGCATTCTCGTTATAGTTGCCCTGCTTTAAAACTTCCTCCTTTTACCAAGTTGGTTTTCCTTAAATATCTTCACTATTCAGATTGGAAGCTAACTTCGCATGTTATATGCAAAGTTGACTTGTGATCTTCCTGTACCAATCTGCACATGCTTTTGCACACTACTATACTAGCTTACATCAGCAATCAAGGGTGTGGCTTAGCGGGCATTGAAGTGGGTGAAACTAGGCAAGACCGGGGTTCAAATCCCCACAGAGACTAAAAAGATTAGGTGTTTTCTTTCTAATCTACCTAAGTCTTAGTGATCAAAGTTGCCCGGTACTTGTACTGGTGGGATTAGCAGGCACCTGGTGAAATAATACCCTAAGAGAATAACCTCACAAGATCACTCCAAAGAAAGGGTTCACACAAGTGCTTCCCAACACTCAACTCTCATACAAAACACTCTTAATAAAGGAGGAAAGGAAGAGACAAGAAATGAAGACTCAAGTCTTGTTGGTGTGATTAAAATGAACTAATGTCATTTCCTTTTATAGGCAAAAAAGTCTTGGCCTCTTAGTTGTAAAAGAAAATATACAACTTGTGCAAATGATATCCACCATACAATGCAATATTTTTGGGTCCCAAAGAATTTTGCCAACAAAGTCTACACTTTGCAAATATGCTTATGCTTATTCTTATGTGAGATAGACTCCATTAGCCAAAATATTGGCCATATTACAGATTCACTAGAGTTGAACCATAAGCAATAATATTGGATTTTGGCTTCTTGTATGAAATACTCATTATAATTCAATTTAGGACAATTTCCAACTCGGCTCGAAAAGTTGATAAAAATCACCCTCAGGCGGATTTCGAAAATTTTCGAAGATAAATATTACCCACAACCCCATAACCTCAAATATATAATTCATTCCAAATTCCATGTCCAATTTCGTGGTCAAAAATCTAAAAATATAAATTTCTAGGTTTCTTTCAAAATTCCACAATTTCTATCAATTTCCATGCTTGAATCCATGTATAAATCTTGTATTTAACTCACAATATGTGGGAATCACTTACCTCATGAAGGATGATAAAATGGCACTCCAAAAGTGCTCCAAAATCGGCTCCCATGGATGAAATGAAGTGAAATTGAGTCAAACCCTCGTTTTAAAGAAACACACTGCCCAGCCCGACTTTCGCACCTGCGGCCGCTTCAAACTTGATGGTATAATTGGTTGAGGTCCCGGGGGCCTCGGGTGTGAATCAAAACATATTCGGCGTATTTCGAAACTTGGGAGATTGCAGATTTTGCTGGCGCTGGTGTTGTTGTACGCGATCGCGAGAGTGGGGCCATATAAGCGAAGTGTTATTGGTGGAAACTGGGATTTTGTTCTATGCGTTCGCAAGACTAGGTTTGCGATCGCGTAAGTTGGTGTAGTAGAGAATCACGAATGCGTGGGTACGATCGCGTTCGCGTAGAGGGAAGAGAAGGCTGGGGATTCACGCGCGATTGTTCATCGCGATCATGTGAAGTCATTCGCGATCGCGTAGGTATGAGGGATCAGTGAACTGCATTCGCGAGTGCACCCTCGCATTCGCGTAAGAGGAAAATTGGGCCAGTGACATATTGTGCTTCGCGAATGCGGGGCAATTTCCGCGTTCGCGAAGAAGGAATATTTGGGTAGTAGATTTAAGTTTCAAAATCGAGGGTTTATGTCATTTTTAACTATTTGGACTTGAGAGCTCGGATTGAGGTGATATTTTGAAGAATTGTTAGAGAGATTGTTAGGGTAAGAGTTCTTAACTCATTTTTGATTAAATTTCCTTAATCTATACATTGATTTTATCATTAAATTAGTAATTTGGGTTGAAAAATTAAAAAAAAATTGGAAGAAACTTCTTAGGCCGAATTTTGGGGATTTGAGCGAGATTTTGGTATCGGATTTGTGTAATTTTTGTATGGTTGGACTTGATATCGAATGGGTGTTCGATTTTTGTAATTTTGGTCGGGTTCCGAGACGTGGGCCAAGGTCGACGTTTTGGAGTGATTTTTCAATTCTTAGATAAGATCATTATTTTATTATTTAAATTAGTTTTCTATATTTATATTTATAGTATGAAATTATTTTGGCTAGATTCGAGCCGTTTGGAGTTGGAAAATCGAGGGAAAGGCCTTTTAATTGATTGATTGAGCGTGGTTTGAGGTAGATGACTTGTCTAACCTTATGATTGAGCTAAATGTTGAAATTCCGATTTTTGCTACGCAATTTCCTTTTTATGCCTTAATTGAGTTACTTTAGCACGTTATAGTCATCATGTTTAGCCTAATTTCACATGTCTACTTGTCTTATCTCATATTTGCAACTTGTATCACATGTTTAGTTGAATTACTTGCTTTTCTTGATTTCTGTATTCATTACTTAACTGTGAAAATGTTTTACTTGAAATTGCTATCCTTGGAATATCATTTATTCAGTTGTTGTGTATTGGTTTTCATGTTATTGTTGAGGTGATTGTTTGGTTGTTTGCACAAGATTTCTGTCGTGCGGTTGTTATTGTCGCACGCGATTTCTGCCGGGCCATTGTGATTCCGAAAACTTTATGAAAACAATAGCAACAAAGGATGGTGCATGCCTAGCCTAAGTAGAGCTGATAGCTAGGACATTGGAGGGTATGTTGACTCGGGAGATAGAGGAGAGGGAGGCCAAGAGGTCTCGAGACCGGGCACATATAATGGCACCCGTGCCCCAGCTGCAGCTCGTCATGGTAGGGGCTATGTGAGTCGCCCTGTTCATTCAGCACTTCCAGCTTCCAGCGATATTCCGGCCACTCCTAGGCCTCAGGTTCCCTATTATGCACCGCCATTATCTAGTGCACCTCCTGCACGGGGTGGTTTCAGCGGCCAGTCCAGTCCATCAGGCCCGAGCCAGTCTCAGCAGCCATGTCCTCCGATAGCTGATTTTGAGTGTGGTGACACTCGTCATATGGTGAGGGATTGCCCCAGAATCAGGAGGGGTGCACCTCCACAGACTACTCAGGCTCTGCGTATTCCACCGGGCCCTCAGGCTTCTCAGTCCATGGTCGCTGCACCATCTGCCACCCCACTTGCACAACCAGCTAGAGGTGGAGGTCGGGCAGGTAGAGGTCGCCCTAGAGGGGGAGGCCAGGTCAGATATTATGCTCTTCCTTCTAGGATGGAGGAAATTGCATCCGACTCTGTCATCACATGTATTGTTCTGGTCTGTCATATAGATGCATCAGTCTTATTTGATCTAGGCTCCACTTATTCATATGTTTCATCTTATTTTGCTCCGTGTTTGGGCGTATCCCGTGATTCCTTGAGTTCGCATGTCTATGTGTCTACACCTGTGGGAGATTCTATCATTGTTGACCGTGTGTATCGGTCGTGTTTAGTTGTTCTTGGTGGTTTTGAGACCAGAGTCAATTTATTATTGCTCAGTATGGTAGACTTTGATATTATTTTGGGCATGGACTGGTTGTTGCCCTATCATGCTATCCTTGATTGTCACGCCAAGAAGGTGACATTGGCTATGCTATGTCTACCGCGGTTAGAGTGGAGAGGTACTTTAGATTATGTTCCTAGCAGGGTTATTTCATTTCTAAAGGCTCAACGGATGGTTAAGAAGGGGTGTGATGCGTATCTGGCATATGTGAGAGATGTCAGTATTGATACTCCTACCATCGAGTTAGTTCCAGTAGTAAGGGATTTATCCAGATGTATTCCTGGCGGATCTTCCGGGCATGCCGCCCGACAGAGATATCAACTTTGGTATTGATTTATTACCGGGCACTCAGCCCATTTCTATTCCACCCTATCATATGGCCCTAGAAGAGTTGAAAGAGTTAAAGGAATAGTTGCAAGATTTGCTTAATAAGGGCTTCATTCGGCCCAGTGTGTCTCCATGGGGTGCTCCAGTCTTATTTGTAAAAAAGAAAGATGGTTCTTTGCGTATGTGTATTAATTATCGCCAGTTGAACAAGGTTACAGTGAAGAACATGTATCTATTGACACGTATTGATGACCTATTTGATCAGTTACAGGGTGCCAGAGTATTCTCTAAGACCGACTTGCTTTCAGTCTATCATCAGTTGAAGATTCAGGAGCCAGATATCCCGAATACTGCCTTTAGGACTCGGTATGGACATTACGATTTCCTTGTGATGTTTTTTGGGCAGACCAATGCCCCAGCAGCATTCATGCACTTGATGAATAATGTATTTCAGCCTTATTTTGACTCGTTCGTCATTGTGTTTATTGATGATATTCTAGTGTACTCCCAGAGTCGGGAGGATCATGAGCAGCACCTGTGGACTGTGCTTCAGACCTTGAGAGAAAAGAAGTTATATGCAAAAATTTTAAAGTGTGAATTCTGGCTAGATTCAGTGGAAACTTTAGGCCATGTAGTGT